AACAACAAGAGTTGGCATGGATGTGAATAAATGGAACACTTGTGCCCTGTTGGTGGGAATGTAAAATGGTGCAGCCATTATGGAAAACAGTACAGCAGCTGTTCAAAAAATTAAACATAGAATTACCATATGATCCAGCAATTCCACTTCTGGATATATACCCAACAGAATTGAAAGTACGGTCTCAAACAGATATTACACGCATGTTCATAGCTGCATTATTCACAATAGTCAAAAGGTGGAAACAATCCAAATGTTTATCAACAGACAAATGAATAAACAAAAGGTGGTGTCTACTTACAATGGAATATTATTCATTCTTAAAAAGAATAAAATTCTGACAAATGCTACAACATGGATGAACCCTGAAAACATTATGGTAAGCGAAATAAGCCAGACACAAAAGGACAAAGGTATGATTCTACTCCTATGAGGTAAGGACTAGAAGAGTCAAATTCGTAGAGGCATAAAGTAGAATGTGGTTACCAGGAGCTGGAGGAAAAGGAGAATGAGGAGTTAGTTTAATGGGCTTAAAGTTTCAGTTTGGGATGATGAAAAAGTTCTAGAGAGAATAGTGGTGATGGTTGCACAACAATGTGAATGTATTTAATGCCATTGAATTGTACACTTAAAAAGCTAAAATTGTAAATATTATGTTATATATTGAAAGAAAGGGAAAAAAAGAAGGAAAGAAAGAAAAGGAAAAGAAGGAGGAAGGAAAGAAAGAGGAGGAGAGAGCGAGGGAATGAGGGAGGGAAAAGAAGGAAAGAAGGGAGGGACGGAGGGAGGGAGGAAAGAAAAGAAAATATTGGAGTCCTCAGAATGGGGAGCCGGGAGGCGGCGTCCCGGTGAAGCATAAGTTGTCAAGGCTCACCGACATTCCTAACCAGCTGTTATCGTGCCGGCCGGCCCGACACACTGCCCTCTGCTCTTCCAGCGTGTTGGCTGGTGTGAGTTGGCCGTCAGTGTTTTTTGCGCTTTCTGATCGCCTACTTTAGCTTCTCCTGTCGCTCCCTTGTGTGTGTGGGTAGGGATGCACAGGGAAAAGCAATTACCAGGCAACCATTTGCCTCTACTCGCCCTTCTCAGGAACACTGCCCCGCCGCCCTCGGAGCCTGTCACCGCAGGGGAATTAGAATGCGTACCCGAGGAGCCTCAAGGAGCCCAGCATCTCCTGTTCCCAATGTGGACCTCAGACTGTCCCGCCTTCCACCTCTCCGCCTTCCGAGACGGAGTGACTCGCAATTTCCACTTTCCGACCAGCCCTGGCATCGCCTTTAGCTTTGAACGCTTACCCATCCACCAAAGTCGGTGGCCTCCTCCCCAGAATGGGTCGCGGGGCAGCGGGGCCAGCAGGTGACTCTCCACACTCTTGGCACCTGCGTCGTGGTTCTGTGGTGGGTAGCGGCTGGGCGGAGCGTAGACCATATCTGCGGGGCAAACCTCTCCTCCACCCCATCCAGATATCTTTCCCCTCAGGGCCAGGTAGTTGAAAGATAGGTGTTTGTCACGGTCAACACCTCTAGCGGTGGTTACTCCGCCGCTGCCAGGGTAAAGACCGCCGCCAGCTGTGAGAATTCGCGGAAACTGCAGGCCACGTGCGCGGACTCTCAGAGCTCGCTTGCCGCCTGGGTTGCTCCCAGGGCTGGGCAGTCGCCACCCTGCCTGACGGTCATTCCCCCTGGAGTGTGGCCTCTCCCCACACGCATACCTGGAGGTTCCTACGGGATGCAGTAGCACAACGTGCTGCCTCATCCTCAGAGCAGGTCCTGATGTCCAGTCCACCAGCCTGACCCTAAAACTCCCGCCTTGACCCTGGAGCTAGGGGAAAGAGGGCCGGGTGCGGATCAGAGAGGCCGCCGCCCAGGGTCGCAGGGCTTCTGGGGTCCGCTCGCAAGTGCGTCCACGCTGGGAGAGAAGCTTGAGTCGTTCCCAGCAGCGGGCTCTCGGGGAGGGATGACTACAAGGGAGACGGCCATGAAACCTTCTGCCTTCGCGGGACCAGACACAGGTCGTCCTAGGAGATTTACTGTGGATTGGAGGAACTTTCCCCCTTGGCCCCCGGTGGCTCCGCCCCTCCCACAGGCCTATTTCCATCAAACCCTCGGGTGCGCAGGGAGGGGTCCGATCGCGGAGCCCACTGGGTCGGCGACACCACAGGCGGTATGCCCTGTGCTGGAGGACTCCTTCTGCCCATCTGGCTCACCCTCAGGTCCGGGCTATCAGTCCGAGGTGGGAGAGGGGAGAGAAGGGAGGCGCCTTGGAGCCGTTGTGGGCCTCCTCAGGTGCATGAGAAACTTATCCCTCTACTTGCCAGCCAGTGTTTTTGAGGGATCCCTGTCCCTCACTTTACTTGAGGGTGGTTCCAGGTGATGCCTCTTCAGTAGCTCCTCTCTCCAGCCTCACGAATTCTCCAGGATGACACGTGGGTGCAAGGGTGTCAGAGAAGGGCTGTCAGTTTTCATTGCCGACTTGAGTACTTGTGTGTAAGTGTGTCAGCCAACGCCTCTCTTTGCCCAAGAGGATCTGAGGTTGCACCGTGGAAGGACCAACACCCTTCCTCCAGCCTGCTTTCCTTGCTCTCCAAAATGTGACCTCACAGCGCACTTGGTATACTAGAATTAAGTTTATTAAGAGAAGGGGAAAATAACTAGGATTCCTGCAACATGGGGAAGATAAATGCTGCAGCCCACCTCTCTGGTTCCTCACCTTGTGGGTTTGTGCTGTAATGAGTACAGAAGAGCTCTGCCACTGGTCTTGGAGAATATAGTGCTTCAGACCCTGCACGTTAACTTGGGCTGTGGGTAGCAGGTCTGGTCCACACAGGGCCTCTTCACAGTCAGTTTGCTTGGAAACACAGAACCAGTGTAAACTCTGTCAGTCCAAATAACAACACTAGAACCAAAAATCAGTATGTACCAAAACGAAAGCTGAGAAGAACTTTGAAGAGGGATTTTAGAAGGGCTTAAACAGATGTGTTCTGTGCAGTAGGCCAGGAGGATTCAAAACCACAACCTTCAACACTTCTTCCTCCTTCGCTGATCTGGTGTCCATCCACAGGGGCAGTGCACCAGGACAGGCTCAGGGCTCCCTGGGACAGCCGAGTCCTGGGGAAATGTCTGCACTCAGTGCCCACTCTCTAGGCGTGGGCGTTTCCAAGTGTTGCAGCCACTGGACACCAGCATTGGCTGGATCCCTGGCCTAGGGAGATGATTATCACCCACTGTGCCCCTTCCACCCACTCCACAGGATTGTTGGGAGGCTAGGTTGCCCTTCTCATGGCTCTACAGCTATATCCCTGCAGGCTGGACTGCGCTCAGTGCACCCCTGGTGAAGTAGAGCTGCTAGCTCTGGGGGTTTCCCCTCCAGGCCACGCTCCAAAAATGGGAGGGAGTGCTAGGGTCAACAGCGATGCCTGCTACCAACTCCACAGACCAAGGTGTCCAATCCATGAGAACCACGAAATTGATGACTCAGAGGTAAATGGAAGGAGCAACCATACTTCTCCTAAGGAAGCCTAACACCTCAGCACAGAACAAGTGAAAGGCACAGATGGACAAATGAGACTCCTAATGTCTCTCATGTACCTACCCCAGTGTCAGAGCACAGCCAGAGCCAAATGATAGCGGATCTCCTACAAAATAACATTCCTAGAAATCCCTGATGAAAGTGATCAAATCAACATATAAAATACACAAAAAAGAGGAGAACTGAGGGCCGGATTGAGACATGCCATTCTCAGCCCTCCATCACCGTAGTTCTGGAGACTGGTTCAGCCTGGAGGATGTCTGGGGCCCTCTGACCTGGAGTAACCACAGCCGCTAAGGAACAAGCACGAATTACAGCACAAGGAAGGAAACTGACAAACAGGCAAGAAATGACCAGAACAGACACTTGATCGAGCTCAGAGTGAGATCTCACACCCCTCACCCTCCTGCCCTCCTCCACCTACCCTTCTCTCCCCACCTGCCACCTGCCTCCGCACAGCAAGGATTCAGACTCAATAAATATTCTCACCTCAATGTTTTCTTTGTAACTTATAACATTCTACTCATTTTATCAACCACTTACCATATCTTCAAAGAGAGAATATGAGAAAATAACAGAGTAAGGTATCTATTTAGGGCATGTAAGTAACAAGGGAGATCTGGGAGGGAGACATTTAAACTCTTTCATTCCAAGAAAAGGAAGCTTGACCCGGGGAATGAGACCCACAGGCCTGGGATATAGGATATTTTGTGGGTTCTGGTTAGTAAGGGTTATGGGCCCCTCTCCCTACATCCTCCTATGTGTTATACAGGGAAGAGACAGACCTCATCAGCAGAGCAGCAAGGGGAAGAGAAGTCAGGAGTCCACAGACAGACCAAGGGGAAGTGTGGACAGCTGGTGTCTTGCTAGTCCTGTCCCACACAAGGCAGCTCTCTCAAGCTCTGGGAGGAAATGACAATGGTCGGATTCATGTCAGCTGCTCTCAGTCTTGGCATGATTATGGACAGCCCATCACCATCCTCTAACTTCAAACCCAAAGATTCCCTACAGCCCCAAATCCCCCACTGCTGGCATCAGGTCCCATAGGATCACATTTCAGGGAGCTGTAAGCAATACAGCTATGTTTGGGACCCTGTCACCACCTGGTGAATAATAGTAAAGAGGCTGAGGAGGAGACAATATTTAAGGCAGATTAAGGGATAGATGAGACATATGACTTTGGCTCCCATCCTCTCTATTCCAGGGGTTATAGAGACAAGCTTCCCCCTTACACCCCTTCCATACTGGTATTTGTGGAGTAGATCCCTCCAGGAGGTTCTTATGAGGACAGAGACACTATAATGCCGTGGTAGTGAGGGAGACTGGGTTTCTTTCTTTTGTCTTTTATTGAGGTATAATTGACTTGTAACATTTTATTAGTTTCAGGTGTAAACATAATGATTCAATATTTATATATATTGCAATATGATCACCACAATAAGTCTAGTTAACATCTTTCACCTTATATAGTTACAAAATTTTTTTCTTAGGATGAGAACATTTAAGTATTACTCTTTCAGCGACTTTCAAATATGCAATACAGTATTCTTAACTATACTCACCATGCCATATATTACATTCTCATGACTTATATATTTTATAATTAGAAGTTTGTACCTTTTGACTCCCTTCACCCATTTCGCCCACCCCCAACCCCCACCTCAGTCAACCTCCAATCTCTTCTCTGTATCTATGAACTTGTTTTATTTTTAGATGTGAGATCATACAGTATTTGTCCTTCTCTGTCTGGTTTATTTCACTTAGCATAATGCGTTCAAGTTCCATCCATGTTGTCACAAATGACAAAATTTTTTGTTTTATGGCTGAATAGTATTTCATCATATATATAAATATACACCACATGTTTTTATCCATTCACCCATCGATAGACACTTAGGCTGTTTCCATACCTTGGCTACTGTAAACAATGCTGCAATGAACATGGGGTGCATGTGTCTTTTCAAGTTAGTGTTTTTGTTTTCTTCAGATAAATACCCAGAAGTGAAACTGCTGGATCATATGGTAGTTCTATTTTTAATTTTTGAGGAACCTCCATATTATTACATTCCCACCAATAGTGCACAAGTGTTCCCTTTTCTCTACATCCTTGCCTTATTATTTCTTGTCTTATTGATAATAGCCATTTTAATAGGTATGAGGTGATATCTCTTTATGGTTTGATTTGCATTTCCCTGGTGATTAGTGATGTTGAGCACTTTTTCATGCATCTGTTGGCCATCTGTATGTCTTCTTTGGAAAAAAGTCTACTTCAAATCTTCTGCCCATTTTTAAATCAGATTGTTTTTTGTTATTGAGTTCTATGAATTGTTCATATATTTTGGATATTAATCCTTTATCAGATAAATGATTTACAAATATTTTCTCCCATTCAATAGGTTGCCTTTTCATTTTGTTGATGGTTTCCTTTGTTGAGCTGAAGCCTTTTAGTTTGATGTAGTCCCACTTGTTTAGGTTTGCATTTGTTCCCTTTGCTTTTGGTGTCAAATCCAAAAAATCATCACCAAGACTGATGTGAAGGACCTTACAACCTATGTTTTCTTCTAGGAGTTTTATGGTTTCAAGTCTTACGGTCAAGTCTATAACCCATTTTGAGTTGATTTTGTGTATGGTATAAGATAGAGGTCCAGTTTCATTCTTTTGCATTCTTTTCCCAACTCCGGTTATTGAAGAGACTGTCCTTTCTCCATTGTATATTCTTGACTCTTTTGTTGTAAATTCATTGACCATATATAAGTGGGTTTATTTCTGGGCTCTCTATGCTGTTCCATTGATCTCTGTGTTTATTTTTATGCCAACACCTTGATTACCATAGCTTTATAATATAGTTTGAAGTCAGAGAGTGTGATGCCTCCAGGCTTGTTTTTCTTTCTCAGTATTGTTTTGGCTATTCAGAGTCTTTTGTGGTTCCATAAAAATTTCAGGATTATTTGTTCTATTTCTATGAAAAATGCCATTGGAGTTTTGATAGGGATTGCGCTGAATCTGTAGATTGCTTTGGGTAGTACAGACTTTTTTTTTTTTTTTTTTTTGGTGAGGAAGATCAGCCCTGAGCTAACATCCATGCCAATCCTCCTCTTTTTGCTGAGGAAGACTGGCCCTGGGCTAACATCTGTGCCTATCTTCCTCCACTTTATGTGGGACGCCGCCACAGCATGGCCTGACAAGCGGTGCCTCGGTGTGCCCCCGGGATCCGAACCCGGGCTGCCAGCAGCAGAGCGTGTGCACTTAACCGCTATGCCATGGGGCTGGCCCCTAGTATGGACATTTTAATAATATTAATTCTTCTAATCCATGAGCATGGAATATCTTTCCGTTTATCTGGGTCTCGAGGTTCTTGAATAACTGGTTAATATTGCTCCCCAGCTGAGATTCGGGAAGTTAAATACCAGGAAAAGATCAGTGAGGAAACCATGCAACCACTCTCCTTGATGTCTGTTTGCAGCAATGGGTCTTCCTTTCAGGGTAGGGGCACCCAGTATCATTTTCCTGAGTGTTGCTCCCCTGCTGTTCTCATCTGTGAATGGGGCTTGACTCCTTTCTTCTCCGGTAAACAATTGGGAGTTACCATCTAAATACACCTTGCACCTACACATTAATTAATCCTGTATGTCTGCTTGGCTTAATAATATTTTATATCTGTAAGAGATGAGCAAAATGGAAGGATGATATTTTAGTAACAGTAACTCACATGATATGAGGATCAGATTCCTGTGCCCTGGATACCTTATCTCTGCTGTTTAGAATCCTCAGGGGGGAAGATCAGGGGATTATGGAGCCCAGTCACAGGGCTGAAGCTTCTGGCGAAAAGACCCTTCCCCAGGTGGGACCCTGGGGCTCAGGAGAGAAGAGACTGTTGACTTACCAGGTCTCCAGCTCCAGTCTCTTCTGTCAGCCTGCACTTCTCGGCCTTGCTGGCTGCCAAGTTTCTGGTTCCCAGCAGCCTCCTCTCTTGCCTTCGACCTCCTGATAAGGTGCAAATTGCCACTTGACCAGGCAGTGGCCTCTCTCCCAGTCCATTTGTGTGCCTGGTTCCCTCTCAGGGTTTGTGGCTTGTCTGGGTTCACCAGCCCCAGCCTCAGCAGTAACAGGGACAAGGGACATGGCAAACCTTCCACTTGCAGTAGGATGCATACAGGTTAGACAGAGCAGAGTCATATTCCCACCCCTTTCGTAACTGAGAACTTCTTCCTGCACATCACAGCTCCAAGGACCAGAGCAGCAAGTAGCACCAGGCCAGTGATGATCCCTACAATTGTTAGGATGAACTGGGCATGTGGTTCTGAGGTGGAAATGAAAGAGGCTTCAGATCCTGGCACAGGTACCCAGAATTGCTCCTGTTATGGGGGTTCTGTGAAGACATTTCCACTCCTTCACCCCCTCCTTACCCTATCTCAGCATAAGGAGCCTGGGCAGCCCCGGCTCCTTGCTGCACATGGCACATGTATCTCTGTTCCTGTCCAGAAGGCACCATCATGGCCCCTCAGTTCTGGAAGGTCCCAACCCCTGCATGCCTGGGGTCCACGTGCTGTGTGTCCTGGGCCTGCTTCTCCCCGACCCAAAGCCAAGTCAGCGTGATGTCTGCTGGGTAGAAGCCCCGGGCTTGTCATCTCAAAGTGACCTCCCTTTAGGGCCTGAGTGTTGAGTTACATGTGCTGATGGCTGGTCTGAGGAGAGTCAGAAGGTTGAGGCCTGCTGGACCACAGAACACAGGATTCTCGTGGGTAGAGAAAGTTAAGTCAGAAACCCAGATATTAGCCTCCTTTCTATAGGTCTGCTTGGTAGCAATTTTCAAACTGAAAAATAGGTTCTCTAAAAACCAATTTTCCAAATCACTAATTTTCTCTTTTTTCAAATGTGCTCCTCCCTTGTTCTTCTTCATTTGTTGTTGTTTGCTTAACCTCATGTGACATGATACAGTTCTAGGTTCCTTCCCTCTGGACGCTCCTTCAGTCTCATTTGCTGGCTCCTTTTGCTCTACATGTTGGTGTGTTTAGGAGCTGTACCTGGGCTGCTTGCTCTGCGCTTACTGCCTTCCTAATTGCTCTAGTTTCAGCCAGTCCCAGGATTCTCAATATCACCTATACACAGATCGCTCCCAAATATGTAGCTTTATATTTTTATAATTTAATAAACAACCGCACCAAAACAGGTAATCTAATTTGTTGCAGATGGGATTGCAAACAGGTAATGTTTTTAGGAAGGGCAAAATAATATTTCTATTGGCCAGAGAAATCATGGTGGAATTTGGATTTTTGTTTTGTTTTTGTTTTCTATCAAGATGAATTTGGTAAATCACCCAGAGTGGGAGATAAAGACCTACTTGTCAAAGGGTAAGTTTTACAGTCTCCTCCCCTTTTGAGCTCATCACTAATCGCTCATACAGGAAAGCTGGGCACCAGCACGTGGCCCATGATGCCCCCTGGTGGTGATCTGGGTCTCTGCACCCACTGTCCCAGGAACACATCGGTCGGGTACAAGGCCAACTGGGGGGTGGGGGGAAGGAAGGAGGGGTCTGGAGGCTTGGGCCCTCGGTTCCGCCACTGATTCTTCTGCTAGTTATGACATGTGTTACCTTGCCTCCCCGCCGGCATCTCAACCCTCACCGGAGCAAAGCACAGCCAATATGCTTGGCCCAGGAAGCCCCTAGTGGCCTCAGACCTGCCGCTGCAGCTTCTCTGAGTCCTCTTCTTCGGGCCACTGCCAAGGATTGATCCAGAGGGAGCATCGCCCAGATGGGCTGGATTCTCTCACAGACACTGCCTTTGCCCAAACATTCTTGAAAATTTTTTAGAACAGAAAGTCAGTGTCATTCTTCAGACTTGCTCCGAAAGCCTTTGACCTTTCTCAAGGGAGAATTGATGCTCAAGGAACAAGATTTGCCCCGACTTTGTCTACGACTCCAGGACGCTATGGCCTCGCGGGTTTCAAACGTGGTTGAGGTGTAATTTTGACAGGGTCCTCGCTGCCTGCACTGGATTTTGCTCTTCTTTTTGTTCTAGCCCGCGCCTTTTGTCATAGTTGTGACTTGTCAGTCTACTCCACTAAAAACATCGCTTTCAAAAGCACTTTGAAAGATTCAATCCCATGAAAATGTGAAGGGTTATCTTAAAAGGAAAAGTTTCTGGTGTTGGATTTTAATTAACATTTTGGTTTTTCAAAAATCTGTAATTGATTGAGTTTGGGGCTTAGTTTTGTCATATTTTACAACTGAAATAGTCTCTCCCTGGCTCCCATACAAATTCAAATTTATGCTAAGAGATAAATTTCAACATATCAAAGAAAGTGAAAGTCACCAAGTTATCCCACTCCCTGGGGATACCACTGTCAAACCTTTGGTGAGGAATCTTCTAGGTTTTCTCTTATTTAAAATATATATTGTGTAAGTGGTATTAGTGGCATTTTAATTCAGTTTGTTCTTAACCTTTTATACAGGCATAAGAGTGTGTTGGGCACACTTTTTCATAGCAATACATTAACATCTATCTACATTATGCCTTTATTGGCTGCAAAGAAATTTATCACATGACTTTTCTTTGGGGGACGATGGAGATGTCCTACATCTTCACTGTGGTGACAGGGGTGTCTACAATTGCCAGAACCCAACCAGCTGTGCATTCCAAATAGATGCGCTGTATTGTATGTGAAGTATGCCCCAATAAAATTGGTTTTAAAATTATTATCCTATTTGAAATTTGTACCTTGGTTATGTAAAAAACAACAAAACACCTTGTTCTTGTTGCTAAGAACCAGACCCTGACACCTCTGGAGGTAAAGCGTCCTGATCTGCAACTTTCTCTCAAATGGTCCTGCAATAACAATAATAGCTATCTATTTATGCATTCAGAGAGGGATCAAACAGCTAAAGTAAAATGTTAATAAATGACAAAACTAGATAGAGGGGGAAAATAAAGGTTAGAAATAATAATATTACATCTTTTGAAATTTATTTCCTCTTTAGTTTTTTCTTTCTTTTTCTTTTCTCTTCTTTAACACTTTTCCACTTCCCTCCCTTTTTTTTTCCTCTCTCTCCTTTACGTTTTATCCCCTGCATATTCGAGCCCCACAGTCAACACTCGTGAACTGTGTCCACCTGCAGAGGTCAGGTACAGAGATGTGACTGGGCTGTCACCTGGGCATTTTGTGAGCGGTAAAGGACTACTGGCCTGGTGCAACCAGATTCCCGCGGCAGGCACTTTCCTTTCTTGGGTGACCTCAGGCTGTAGGAAAGGTTTTTGGATCTTGGAATCCAAGGTCGGGTCTCGTGGGGGATAGGCCTGGAAGCAGCATTTCCCTACTCACACACATCAGAATCAACCAGGATGCTGTTTAAATAAGTCAGATTCCAGATCCCCCTTCAGACACATGGACTTGGAATTTCCATGGACCCGGGCAGGTCTGCATTTTCACCACCAGCAGGTGTAACTGCCCAGGAGTTTCAGAACCAGAAACCTAAATGCAGCTCACTCACCTCCCACTCTGCCCATAAGCACCTTTATTCTGCTTTCACATCAATTAGCAACTTTTATTTCCTTTAGGCCAGGGTTGTGGGGGACAGGTGATCTTCAATCCTCCCTGTAAACTCTGGGCCAGCCCTCTTGAAAATAAGCCCATTCTACCAAGGGAATCCCCGCCTTGGGTTATGTAAGCCCCTACCCTGGATCTTTTCAGTTTCTTTTCCAGACCCAGCAGTGGTGCCTGAGGCCTGCACAAGAAAGGCGTCCATATGCCTGTGAGTTCAGGGGTCCAACAGTGAGAGTGGAGGAGAAAAAGTAGTTTATGGGGCAAAGGAGAAGGGGGCTGAAAATAAGGTGGTGTGGAGGGGAAAGGGCTTTGTACAGAAGACGACCTGGGAGTCTTGGACAGGAAGGGGCAGCCACATCTAGATCTTGGGGAATACCCCAAATCTGGAGTCCTAGACCATTAAGGCCTCTCCTACCCCTCAGGAAGAGTGGGAATGGCATCATCTCTCACTGCAATCATTTCTAAATGCTTTTGAACAAACATTATTATTATTATTAAAGTATTAAAAGTCTTTTTTTGGGGGGGTGAGGTGAATGAGACGGTTTGCTGGAGCTGCCACACTAGGAAGCCCTCAAAAGAGAGTTTCATGGAGGGAAAGACTTGGGACCGGCTGCCAGGAGAGCTAGGTTTCATCTGCCATTCTACATTCTCACTCTCCTTGTGAAATGGAGGGATCAGCAGGCAGAAATCAGTAAGGACATACTTGAACTCAACGGCACCATCCATCAACTGGATATAATTGAGATCTATAGACTACTTCATCCAACACTAGCAGAATACACATTCTTTTCATGCTCACATGGAACATTCACCAAGATTGACCAAATTACGGGCCATAAAACACACTTTAACAAATTTAAAATTGAAATCTTGTGTCTGCTTTCAGACAACAGTGGAATTAAACTAGAAATCAGTAACAGAAAAATAACTGAAAAATTCCAGAATACAATGGATTAAACAACCCACTTCCAAATAACACATGAGTCAAAGATGAAATCTTAAGAGAAATTTAAAAATATTTTGAAGTAAATGAAAACACAACTTATCAAAATTTGTGGGATGCAGTGAAAGCAGAGCTTAGAAGGAAACGTGTTGCATTGAGTGCATATATTAAAAAAGAAGAAAGATCTAAAATCAATAATCTAAATTTACATCTTATAAAACTAGAAAAAGGAAAGCAAATTAAATGCAAAGTAAGCAGAAGGAAAGAAATAATAAGAATTAGAGCAGAAATTAATGAAATTGAAAACAGGAAATTAATAGAGAAAATCAACAAAACCAAAACCTGGTCTTTTGAAAAGATCAATAAAATTGATATACCTAGACCTAGGCTAACTAGTTAAAAAAAGGAATGGATACAAATTACTAGTGTCAGAAATGAAAGAGGAAACATCACTGAAGATCCTACAGGCATTACAAAGATAATAAAGAAATACTGTGAACAACTCTATGCCCACAAATTTGATAATCTAGATGAAATGGAGCAATTCCTGAAAGACACAATTTGCCAAAATTCACACAGAAGCAATAAATAATCTGAGTAGACCTGTGTCCATTAAAGAAATGGAATCAATAATCAATAACATTCCAAAACAGAAAGCACCAGGCCTAGATAGGTTCACCGGTGAATTCTACTTAACATTTAAGAAAGAAATTATACCAATTCTCTACAAACTCTCTCAGAGGATAGAAGGAGAGGGAATACTTCCTGACTCATTCTCTGAGGCTAGCATTACCCTGTTACCAAAATGGGACAAAGACATTATGAGAACAGGAAACTACAGAACAGTGTCTCTTATGAACACACATGCAAAAATCCTCAAAAAATTTTAACAAATCAAGTCTATAATGCATAAAAAGATCTATACACCACAACTAAGTGGGGTTTATCCCAGGTGTGGAAGGCTGGCTCAACATTTGAAAGTCAATTAATATAATCCATCACATCAACAGGCTGAAAAGGAAAACTCATGATCATATTAATAGATGTAGAAAAAATATTTGACAAAAAGTAACATCCATTCATGACAAAAACTCTAGGTAAACTAGGAATAGACAGGAACTTCTTCAACTTGATAAAGATTATCTACAAAAACAGCATACAGCTAACATCATAATTAATGGTGAGAAACTCAAAGTTTTCCCGTTAAGATCGGGAACAAGGAAAGGGTATTCTCTCTCACCACCCCTTTGCAATATCATACTGGAAGTCCTAGCTAATGCAATAAGACTTAAAAAAAATAATAGGTATACAGATTGGGAAGAAAAAAATAAAACTGTCTTTGTTGGAAGATGACATGATTGTCTATGTAGAAAATCTAAAGAATAAACAAACTGGAATTAAGAACCGACAAGTAATTATAGCAAGATTGCAGGATAGAAGTTTAATATAAAAATGTCAATAGCTTTTCAACATGTCAGCAAGAAACAAGCAGAAGCTGAAATTTAAAACACAATCCCATTTACATTAGCACCAAAAAAATAAAATACTTAGATATAAATCTAACAAAATATGTACAAGATCTATATGAGGAAAACTACAAAGCTCTGATGAATGAAACCAAAGAACCAAATAAATGGAGAGATATTCCATGTTCATGGATACGAAGACTCAGTATTTTCAAAATGTCAGTTTTTCCCCCACTTGATCTATAGATTCAATGCAATCCCAATCAAAGGCCTAGCAAATTATTGTATGGATATCAATAAGCTGATTATAAAGTTTATATGGAGAGGCAAAAGAACCAGAATAGTGAAGAAAATATTGAAGGAGAAAAACAAGATTGGAGGACTGACCCTACCTGACTGCAAGACTTAGTAAAAAGTAATCAAAAGTGTGGTATTGGTGAAAGAATAGACAGATAGATCCATGGAACAGAATAGAGAGCTCAGAAATAGACCCACATATAGACTAATGATCTTTGACAAAGGAGCAAAGACAATACAATGGAGCAAAGATAGTCTTTTCAACAAATGGTGCTGGAACAACTGGACATCCACATGCAAAAAAATGAATCTAGACACAGATCTTACACCCTTCACAAGAATTAACTCAAAGTGGATCACAGGCCTAAAGGTAAAACACAAAACTGTAAAACTCTTAGAAGACAGCATAGGAGAAAACATAGATGACTTTGGGTATGATTGTTAGATACAACACCAAAGTCTTGATCCATGAAAGAAATCATCGATAAGCTGGACTTCAATAAAATTTAAAACTTCTGCTCTGCAAAAGACAATGTTAAGAGAATGAGAAAATAAGCCACAGACCAGAGGAGAATGTTTGCAAAAAACACATCTGATAAAGGACTGTTATCCAAAATATGCAAAGGACTCTTAAAACTCGACAGTAAGAGAACAAACAGCCTGTTTGAAAAGTGGACCAAAGACCTTAACAGACACCTCACCAAAGAAGATATACGGATGGCAAATAAGTTTATGAAAAGACACTCCACATCATATGTTATCGGGGAAATTCAAATTAAAATAGCAATGAGATACCTCTACACACTTATTAGAATGGCCAAAATCTGGAACACTGACAACACCAAATGCTGGTGAGGATGTGGAACAACAGGAGCTCTCATTCATTGCTGGTGGGAATGCAAAATGGTATAGACACTTTGGAAGACAGCTTGGCAGTTTCTTACAAAACTAAACATACTCTTACCATACAAACTAGCAACACACTCCATGGTATTTACCCAAAGGAGTTGAAAACATCTCCACACAAAAACCTGCACACAGATGTTTATAGCAACTGTATTCATAATTGGCAAAACTTGGAAGCAATAAAGATGTCCCTCAGTAGGTGAATGGACAAATAAACTGTGGTACATCCAGAAAATTGAATATTATTCAGCACTAAAAAGAAATGAGCTATCAAGCCATGAAAAGACATGGAGGAACCTTAAGTGCATATTACTAAGTGAAAGAAGACAATCTGAAAAGGCTACATACTGTATGATTCCAACTATATGACATTTTGGAAAAGGCAAAACTGTGAACACAGTAAAAAGACCAATGGTTGCCAGCAGCTGGAGTAGGAGTTAGGGTTGAATAGGTGGAGCACAGAGGATTTTTAGGGCAGTGAAAATACTCTATATGACGTTATAATGATGAATACATACCATTATACATTTATCCAAACACTTAGAATGTACAACACCAAGAATAAACTTTAATATAAACTATGGCCTTTGGGTGATTATGATGTGTCAGTGTTGATTCATCAATTATAACACTGTACCACTCTGGTGAGGGATGTTGATAGTCAGAGAGTCTTCAAGTGTGTGAGGGCAGGGGGTATATGGGAAATCTCTGTACCTGCCTCTTAATTTTGCTGTGAACCTGAAACTGCTCTAAAAAAACAAAAACAAAACAAAAAATATTCATCCACTTTCTTGCATGGAATAGTTCATTTTTTAAAATCATTGAATAGTATTCCAGTGTGTAGTGTACTGTGTTTGTTTGTCCTTCTACTGTTGAAGGATATCTTGATTGTTTACAGTTTTTAATGATTATGAATAAAGCTTCTATAAACATTCACCTGCAGTTGTTCTGTGGAAATAAGTTTTCAATTAACTTGCTAATTAGCAAATATCTAGCAGTGGGATTGCTGGGCTGCATGGTCAGTGTATGTTTAACTTTATAATAACCTTCCTAACTATCTTCCAAGTTGGCTTTACCATTTTTCATTCTCATAAACAATGAAAGAGAGCTCCTGGTGTTCTGTATCCTTGCTGGTAATTTTATTGTCATTTTTTTTTTTATTTAGCTATTTGAGTAGTGTAGTAGGATCTTATTGCAGCTTTAATTTGTGTTTCCCTAATGACAAATGATATTAAGCAACTTTCCATGTGTTTGTTTGCCACCCATTTATCTTCTTTGGTGAAGATGTGTCTTTCAGTCACTTATTAAATGGGGACTTTTTATTTTCCATTGTTGAGTGTTAATCTTCCTTACATGTTTTGGTTATAAGTCCTTTATCATGTATGTAACTTCCAAACATTTTCTTTCAGTCTGTGTCTCGTGTTTTCATTCTCTTAATAGTGTCTTTTGTAGAGTAAAAGTTTTAAATTTTTATAAAGTCCGATATACCATTTTTCTTCATGGATTTGGCTTTGGGTGTTTTATCTAAAAACTCATCACCAAACCCAATGTCAGAATTTCTCCTTTATGTTTTTATAGAATTTTCATGGCTTTATATTTTACATTTAGGTCTATGATCTATTTTGAGTTAATTTTTTATATAATATGAAACATTCTTTAGATTATTTTTTATATGGATATCCAATTGTCCCAAGACCATTTGTTAAAAGGACTATCCCTTCTTCACTGGATTATCTTTGCACCTGTATTCAAAATCAGTTGACTGTATCTGCATAGGTCTATTTCTGGCCTCTCATTCTTTTTTATTGATCTATGTTTCTACCCTTTTGACAATACCACACTGTCTTAATTGCTGTACAGTTCTAGAAAGTCTTAAAATAGTATCCCATAAGTTTGGAAAGACATATTTTCATTATAATTCAGTTGAAAATATTTTCTAATTTCCCTTGTGTTATCTTTGATCCATGGGTTATTTAGAAAGGTGCTTTTAAATTTCCAAATACTTGTTCTATTCCCCAGATATCTTGTTATTTACTTCTAGTGAAATTAATCTTGGTCAGAGAACATACTCTATATGATTTAAATCTTTCAAAATTTATTGTTACTTGTTTTATGTCTCAACATCTGATCTCTCTTAGTGAATGTACCATAAGCATTTTTAAAAAAAATATATATTCTGTGGTTACTGGGTATAGTGTTCTGCAGATGTCAGTTAGATCAAGGTGGTTGATAGTGTTGTTTATTTGTGTTTTAAAGAAACTAAGAGAAAAAAGAGAGTCTTTTCTTTTTCCCAATGTATTTGTCATTTCCAGAGCTATACTTTCCTACCTGAAGATTTAAGTTTTCATCTGGTATGATTTCTGTCAACCAAAAGAAATCTTGAATAGTGTCAAGATGGTGGTGTAGGCGGACTCTGAACTCACCTTCTCCCAGACATAACAAATTTACAACAAATCTTGGAACAATTACCTCTGAGAGAGAACTGAAAACTTGATAAAAAGAACCCCCACAACAAAGGACGGTGCTGACTGAGGTGGAAGAAGCAGAAATTCCTTTATGGAGAGAAAAAAAGCCACTTTCGTGAGCTGTGGCACTGCACAGCTGGCCAGGAGCAATCCTAAGGTATGCAGCCTTCCCTGGAGGAGCAGGGGATCTGAGCAGGAGAGCGTTACTGCTCTAAGGAGCTCTTGGACTCAGCACGACCAAGACGAGTGTGAAAATACCTGGCTTTGCTGGCTGCTAACAATAATGGGGAGTACCCAGAGAAAAGCTATCACTCACAAGGGTAAAAAAGCCTGCTCTTAAAGGGCCCATGCACAAATTCACCCATTTCAGAAAGTAACCTAAAATCACCAGAAAGAAAGGTGCACAGTCCTTTGGTGAAAAGACACTCACTGATAGGCTCTGGGTGCATGTCAGTGAGAGGTGAGACCTCTCCAGGGACTGAGACATTGGCAGCAGCCATTATGTGACCAGTACAGGCGTGCTGACACGGATGCTGGTAGACACCATTGGAGTTCTTCCCCCAGCCTGTTAGCACAGGGTCTTCCCCATCCACTAAAGCACTGATTTAATCCAGCTCACCCAGGGCAGGCAGCCGCCTTAAGGATTGGCCCCACCCAACAACAAGCCCTTGGGAAACTTGTGGGCCTGCATAGGCAGAGTGCTTAGAAACTCTGCAGCTGGGTGAATGGGTCCACCTCTCTGGGTCAGGGCATGCACAAGGAGGAGGTGGAGTGTATTGGGCATTGGTGGAGTGTATGGGGCCTCTGCAGTGGGGTGACTGGGTCTATTTCAGTGTGTCGGGGTGCAAGCATGGGGCAGGGCTGTGTTGGCAGGGTGTATGGCCCTGTGGGTGGTGGGGCTTGTGAGCTGTAGCAGACTTGTACTTCTCAAATAGCCACATAGGGGATTGGCCCCACCTTCCAAAGCCTGGAACAATTGGGTGCTCCTATGCCTACGGCCAGCCCCACTCAGCTGCAATGCTGAGAGAGCTGACAAGAGCCTTTCAGGCCCGAGGCCTGCAGCAATTGTAAACCACTGAGCCTAGCAACCAGCAATGCTGGGGGCCTACTCACTTAACAGAAAAATAGCGACAAGAATGTGCTGTTGGACCTTGCAGCCAACTGTGCTGGGGCTCCCCATACCCGGTAAGGTGACTGAAGAGTCCATAGCAGCCACATGAAGGTGAGCATTACAATCAGTGGGCCAGGGTGACAGCCCAGCCTCCCCATGCACCTGCAGCAAGAGAAACTCTGCCACAACAGAAGGATGCACATATCCCACACAACGGACACTCCTGGAACATTTGTAACTGGAGACAAGAGGGAAGCACACTGTTGGGCTTCATAAAGCATCTCTTACATAAGGCCACCTCTCCAAGATTGGGAGATTTAGGATGTAAGACCTGACACATAGATACAAGCACAGAGAAAGAGGCAAAATGAGGAGACAAAGGAATACATTCCAAGTAAGAGAACAAGACAAACCCCCAGAATGAGAACTAAATGAAACAGAAATGAGCAATCTACCTGACAAAGACTTCAAACAAAAATTCATAAGGATGCTCACCAATCTTGGGAGAAGAATGAATGAACTCAGTGAGAATTTCAACAAAGTATTGGAAAATATAAGAAAGAATCAATCAGAAATGAAGAATACAATACTGGAAATGAAAAAATTCACTAGAGGGACTCAGTAGCAGAGTAGATGATACAGAAGAATGGATCAGCCAGCTGGATGCAAGACTAGAGGAAATCAGCCAAGCTGAACAAATACAAGAAACAAGAATTAAAAATAACGAGGACAGTCTAAGGGACATTTGACACAATATCCAGCACACTAACATCCATGTTATAGGTGTTCCAGAAGGAGAAGAGAGAGAAAAGGGGGGCAACAAATATATTTGAAGAAATAATAGCTGAAAACTTTTCTAACCTAAGGAAAGAAACAGACATCTAGGTACAGGAAGCACAAAAAGCACCAAACGCAAAGAGGACCACACCAAGACAGAGTATAATTAAAATGTCAAGAATTAAAGACAAAGAGAGAATCCTAAAAGCCATAAGAGAAAGACAAAAAGTTACATGTGAAGGAAACCCCATAAGGCTATCTGCTGACTTCTCAACAGAAACCTTACAAGCGAGTGCCATGATATATTTAAAGTGCTGAAAGGAAAAATCCTACAGCCAAGAATTCTCTACCCTGCAAGGTTATCATTCAGAATGGAAGGAGAGATAAAGAGTTTCTCAGACA